CAGTGCCTTAGGTCAATTGCATGCTCTCAACCTCCCTCAAAGAGTGGCTGTTCTGAGGTGAAACAGAGGAGGACAGCCCTTGAGCACAGAGGAGGATAAATAGGTTATCAATGGAACTGATAAATGCAGCCATGACATGGGGAAAGTTGCTTGATTCTTGACCCAGTCAAGATGCATCTTTTGGTTGTGGGGAGGGAAATTTTGAGTGAAACTAAATGATACAATGAGTGTATTGTTAGAAGGAGAATTCCATTAAGCAAGAAGACATTAGTTTGTCTTACAAGGAGTTTTGCCTCAACTCACTTCTTGCACATTAGCTAGCTTTGTTGGGCAAAAGAATATTGCCCACACAATGTAAATGATGTAAAATTTTGGCTGCAAATTACTGCAGGTTATGAAGTCAATGTAGACATCATCTGTTGAATACTAAGATGTGCAATTCCATGCCCGACAAATAACATGTACACTGACTTCAAAACCTCCAGCAATTTGCCACCAAAAAGTTATGCTGGGAACAGGATTGTGTTTGCTGTGTGATTGGTCATAAAGAGCTGTCCGCACAATTCATTTACAAGCCTGATTGCTCAGACGTGGAGGCTTAGAAGAATTTATGTAACTGGAGGGGAAACACTGTAAAGAGCAGGAAAAGGCCATTCCCTTAATGTGTAGTTTGACCTGATCGGGCACGTAAGCAAGAGAAATACATGTGCAAGATTTGTCCCATATGACAGTGATCTCATGCTTCTGTCCCTAGGTTTATGAATGCCTTCATCAGCATATCAAAAGGCAACCAGATCCACTTACCCTGCAGGGCCGAGCACTGGCCCATGAGGTGAGGTTGATGCCCTGGCTTTGAACTGCAATTGTCCCTGCTTTCAAATAGCACAGCACTGAACCATGTTATCTCGCAGATGTCCATAGTTAAGGATTTATCTTATATCATTAGGCTACTGTTAGAAGCTAAGGTAATGGTGTTGTAGTTTGTTCAAACAAATGAATATTTAAAAGCTATGAGGAAGTTTTAAAATGACACTGGCCTTCCCTTTTTCTCAGGTAGTGGACTTACTACGTGGAGTCCCACAGTCTCCAGAGGTTAAAGAACTAAGGCGACTTTTACGAGGTCCTCACGTCAAGGCAAGTGCTAGTTCTGGAAATTACCTCACCTTGAGGGAGAAAAGTCAGGCAAAACGATGGTTAGAAGATGATTAGATGATATATATACAGTAGGTTTGTTTGTTTATGAGTTACATTTACAGCCCACCTTCCCTCAAGTGAATTTATGACTCTCCTTACCCTTTTATCTTTGCAATGTCCCCGGGAGATGGGCTGAGAGAGAGAGAGAGAGAGAGAGAGAGAGAGAGCAACTATCCCAAAGTTACACCATGAGCATTGATGAAAATGGGCAATTCCCAGAGGACAAGGTGGTGCTGCGGTCAGAGAGTCGGCTGGGACTTGGGAATTCCATGTTCTTGTTCTCATTGGGACATGAGTGGGTGACCTTGGGCCAATCATGGCCTTGGCCTCACCCGTCTCACAGAGTTATTTAGGAGAATATCTTGGGGAGGAATTGAACCATGCTATTGGAGAAAAAGTAGAATATAAAGGTAGTTAATGAACAATACTGTAACTCAGTGGTTCTTAACCTTGGGTTACTCAGGTGTTTTTGGACTGCAACTCCCAGAAGCCTTCACCACCAGCTGTGCTACCTGGGGTTGCTGGGAGTTGCAGTTCAGAAACACCTGAGTAACCCAAGGTTAAGAGTCACTGCTGTAACTGACCATTTCATGCTGCTAGTGACCCAAGGTTAAGAACCACTGCTGTAACTGACCATTTCATGCTGCCGCCACCAGGAGAATACCTTGAAATGAGACAAAAGCATCCATGCTTAAGTTGTCCTAACAGATTAGTTCATATAATGGAAGACTACACAGCAGAGGTGAGGAACATGTGACTCTCCCAATATTTTGTCCCACAGCTCTCATCTTCTCCACCCAGCATGGCCAGTGGCAAGTCACTGTGGGAATCCAACAGAGATTTCTGGCTCACAGAATACTATTTTCAGTGGACTTCTGTTCAATGGAGGCACACAGGGTTGGCCTCCGAGTGTGGTTATGAGGATCCACTCTTTCCTAGTATTAAAAATCAGAATGGAAACTATACCTGTGTATGGAGGTTTAGGATGAAACCTCTCCCATGGGGAACGTTTTATTTAACATGTTATTGATAAGCCATTATACCTGGCCGTTGGCAAGCAGAGAATATGCTGGGGCCCCTGGTTTGAAATTACTGATGCTGATGACAATGGTGTTGAATGTTTATGATAAATAAGATTCACACTCCACATGAAGTATGTGGCTTTGGGGCAGAATGAATGCAAGCTACAAAGCAAACAAATGTCTGTCTGTCTGTCTGGTTGAATTCATGTTGCTATAGCTGACTCCTAAGCAGTCACATCCAGCAATTACGGCATGTAACCGCTGCTTGCTTTGTGCCCCATGAAATTCCCCATTCCCTTTTCTTTTTGGCACAGGCCTTACTATCCGCTCACGATACAGTGGCTCAGAAGAATTATGAACCCATCCTTCCTCCTCTGCCTGACAACATCCCTGAAAATGAGGAAGCCATGAGGATTGTCTGCCTGGTGAAAAACAAGCAACCCCTTGTAATGTTACCTTTTAATCCTGAACCAATGTGATCTGTTTTATCCATACTTTTTTAAGAGCAAAAGAAATGCCATGCAAATTAAGCTTCTCTTGCCCATTGATTCTTATTTGGCCAATTGGCACTTGTTTTAACAGTGTGGTAGGAGAGTAGAGTGCAAGCATCAGATGATGCTATTGGTCTCCATCCAATAAATATTTTTTCTTCTTCTCAAGGAAGATGGGGTTCTATATAACTTCTTAATTCCGTACATTAAAGCAACAATCCTATATGTACTGATTGGCGAATGAGACTCACTAAACTCAGTGGGAACTTACTGCTGAGTAAGCATGTACACAACTGTAATGTAAGAGAAGCTGGACAGTTTCTGAGTGATCGAAGTGTATGGAAAAATTTCCTTTGCTTTTATACATAGAAAATATGTATGAAAATACATCGTTTGTATTTTCTCTTGCTTCTGGACTGTTGCTATCTTCCTTGAGCTTGAATATAATAAGTTAGAGAAAGAAATTGTTACCATTATAAAGGAGTTAATAGAGTATTAAGTATCTGTAAATCATTTTCTGTCCATTAGCAGCTCCCAACGTGATAACCTTAACATTTCAGTATAAAAACAAACAAAAAGGAATAAAACATTAAAAAATATTAAAAAACATTTTAAAAAGTCAAACACCTGACAGATTTAAAAAGTTTTGACTGCCCATTTGAAAACTCAGTGACTTCCCTTGGGGAGGGAGTCCTGTCATCAAGGGGAGGCTACGGAGAAGACTCTGTCTTGCCTACCCATCAACGTAACTTCTCAGAGTCATGAGATGTGAAGCAAGCTCCCTAATGAAGATCTCAAATAATGAGCACCTCCTATCATCCCTCATGACTGGCCCTGCTAGTTAGGACTAAGTGGGAGCTGCAGTCCCACAAGAACATTTTGAGTTTAACTGTATCCCCAATAAACAGGAGGACACTAAAAAGCAAACTGTGCAAAAATCACTTTTGTATATTTCTCTGTAAATCTTTTAGCACAGTTGCAGGGGACATTTCATACATGTGAATAAAGATGATCCTATCAATTGCATGGTATGGAGAAAAAAGTATCAGCTGGCAGCAGTAATTAATATGTATTCAAAGATGGATGGGTGAACTGTAATGAGAGTTGAAGTGCAATGTTTCTAACAATAATTTGTGCCCATCTCTAAACATTCACTAAATCTGCACGTAACTTCCGTTTTATTCATTAATTTTGTTATAGCCTCTCTCTTTTTTTCTTTTTTTCTGTCCTCTTCCCCCCACAACCACCAAGCAGGGTGCCACTATTAAACGCCACGAGCTAACAGGAGATATCACAGTAGCGCGAGTAATCCATGGAGGACTGGCAGACAGAAGTGGTAAGATTAATTTAAACCTTTCCCTGGGGGCAAGCAACCCTCTTTCTCCGATTGTTGGAAGTAGTCGGTTGGGGCTGCACACCCACCGAGGCAGGGCTACAGCCCGCAGCCGGCCAACCTGCCCTCTCTTCTCTCAGGCTTGAGATGATGGCAGCAGTGGTTGAGTACCTTTGGAGGACTCCAGGGTGAGGAAGGCTAGTATGGGGTAAATTTACATGGCAGAGTCCATGACGAAAGGGACTGTTCTACTTTGAGTGCCTTTTCGACAAGGGCAGATTTGGGGCTCCTGTTTTATGGTTGTGGCATCTCTTTATTCAGAATTCTGACAAAAAAATCTTGGAATCACCCCTGAAATTCTAAACCGTTTTGTGCTCCTCTTCTCTGGGGAGATGCTCATCGTGACTCCTTTCCCTCCTAGGGCTGCTGTATGCTGGAGACAAACTGGTAGAAGTGAACGGCGTTCCTGTGGAGGGCCTGGAACCGGAGCAAGTAATCCACATTCTGGTATGATGATTTTGCCTTTCATGTTTTTAATACCATTCACCAGGAACATGTAAGGAATGCAGATATGCTTCCTCTAAACCCAAGAATACATCTTGCAGAATTATGATTCTTTGTTGTCATTATGTGGCTTCAAGTCATCGACTACTTATGGCGACCCTATGAACGGGCCATCTCCATAAGATCCTGTCCTCAATGGTCCTGCTCAGCTCTTGCAAAGCCAAGCCTGTGGCTTCCAATTCTTTACAAATTCTTGTTACAAGTTCCTGAAGCTATTAGGCTTTGGTATGCATCTCCTGTGCTATATGGTAAGTGCCACCAGTTTGTCTAATACTTCTTATGTTGACTGATGATCCAAAGGCTGATGAGGCATTCCCTCTTTTTTTTTCCTTTAACACTTCCATGAGATTTCCATTTACAACATGTCGGCTCTTTCACTCAGTATGAGCTTTTCCCCATGATCTGCTGTTGTTGCTATCACGGTTAACTTGGGATGTTTGGTTTCAGATCTCTGTATCTCCAAATCCATATTTCTTTAGGAAATAGATACAAAGGGTGTGTATTACACAATGTTGTTTTTTACATTGTGACTGTAGTTGCTCGGAGTGGAAACAGATGTTATAGATATTATTATAGTTGAGAGCACATAAGAGCCCAGTCACAAATGAAAGCAAGCTAATTTGCTAATTAAGTGAGGTGTGTGCTCATGTGTTTTGAGCAGTTACAGAATTCCCTCTTCTGATGATGACTTACTTGTAATGTTTGCTTCTGCCATGGGACAGTCCAAAGAATGATATTATTTTATTTATTTTTTAGTGGTGGGAAATCTTGGCTTTCCAAATGGTTTTAGCCAGCTCCCAGACGCCAATGGCCTATGGCAAGGGATGAGGCAAATTGTGGTCTTAAACATCTGGAGAGCCAAAAGGTTCCCTATTTGTTTGTACTCTGTTCTAATGCTTTTCCCATCATCATCATCATCCTGCATGTAGCCTGACTTTCTACTCTGGTCCCAGGCAGCCAACCATGCCACAGCCTTTCCATTTTTCGTAGAGCACTGATATCTGTAGACTTTAAAACACCCTCCTTACACTGGGTCTCATAATTTAAAAAAAAAAAAACACTCTATGCAAACAAATCAAATTTATTTGGTATCTCCCTGTGGAACTGATTTGAAGAAACAACTTTATCAGATGTTTTTTGGCACAATTACCTTCTGCCTTGGTTCTTTGTTGTCGTGTTAGTAGGTATCTTCATAATGTGTCGCATAAATGCCAGGGAGTTCAGTAGAAACGTTCTTTAAATATTTTATTTACCTTGTTTACAACCACGCTTTTCTATCAATATATTCCACATGGATCCCAGTATAAAATATGAGTCCATGGTTTAATGGTTGTGATGTCAATTGGAAGGTAGGCAGGGAGGGGAGCAGATGCTGGAAGCTACTCGTAGCTCATGGGTAGTCAAAATATTGGATCAGGGCTTGGAAGATCTGCACTATTTAGAATGGATAACCTGCCTGTCTTTGTGATCCCAACATTCTAATTGCTATAACAGCAAAGTTGTAACTTTTAAAAATTTCTTGTAGGCTCTGTCACAAGGAACAATTATGTTCAAGCTGATTCCAGTTTCTGATCGGCCAGTCAGCAATCAAACAACAGTAAGATACTTTTATTTCTTCAACTCTCTCTTGCTTCGGAGTGTTAACCCAATAATGGTTAGCCATAATGTAGATGAGTAATGTCAGTTCAGCTCCTGGCAGCATCTAATATGATGGCTTTTACAAGACAGGTAGCTGAGAAAATAAATACTCTGTCCATCAAGCCATTTAGTCTGTAAGGAGTATATCATACCAGTACTTTGCTATTTCACTGGCTGACAATCAGCCTCTAGTTCCAATTCAAGATGGTAGCTATGGCATGTAATAGTCTAAAGCAGATGACCCCATTATACCTGGAAGGAAATATTCACCGTTATTAATACCTTTTCCTGTTAAGACCTCCAGGTGAGTTCCTGCTCCAGACAGAGCGAGTTTTCCACAACTAAGGAATGATATAGTCCTTGTACACAATCCTTGTACACTTACTCCAACTGGCTAAAGTGATCATTTTGACTGGATTTGGGCTTTTTCTCAATTGCTACAGTTACTAGTATGGTTCTGTAGCTCTTGGTGTGACCTGATCAGGATCACTTAATATATTAATTAATGGATGAGTTGGGTGGCAGATTTTGGCTCAGTTGTTTGGAGTCTCTTACCTTCCTAGCAGGAAGCCAAGGAGGGTGTCATGCCCTTAGTTGGCCAAGGACAAAAGGCAAACTGTAGCTCAGAAGAGGAGTAGCTTAAATTTGGCAGAACACGATGGAAACAGGTTGTTGGTTTTTAGAGAGCTTGGGATTTGAGGCTTCTGCTTTTGGAGTAGTGTTGCCAGCCAGTACGCCCACTTGCTTTTTCTGCCTTTTATCTCCAGTAATTGGAAAATTTGGAAGTGAACAAAATTATGAAAATCATCAGGAGATTGGACAAAGATACCAACCTGCCCAGTTCTTATGATCTTCTGCAAAAGTCTTTCTTGTGGTTCCCACCACTTCCCACATTTTGTTTGACAGGAATAAGAATGAAAGTCTTTTCTGTGTTGGCCCCAGACTGTGTAGAGCAGTGGTGCTCAACTTTGGTCCCCAGTTGTTCAGGGACTGAAACTCCTAGAGAGCCTTTGCCACTAGCTGTGCCAGATAAAATTTCTGGGAGAACATCTGGAGGCCCAAAGTTGGGAAACCTTGAGGTAGATGGATCAATAGCTAAGCCCAGCATCCTACATTCTTAGTCCCTCACTGACAGTTTTTTAACTGCTGTTAACTCAGTTCATAAAGTTATTACGCTGTGCTGTTATATTTCTGTTATTCATATTTTATTTGTTGTTTGGCTAACTGCACGTAATCTTTTCTGCTTCTGTTCAAATATATTTTATTGTCTAAAGGCAAAGGAAAATGATACCTTTATTGCACCACTAAAAATTCTCAAACATAGGCTGGCCTTCAACTCCATACAGGTTTTCATCAGGCTGGGTACCACATGTTTGTGATTTCTCAGTCATCTGATAAAGGTATCATCCACCTTTGCCTTCAGATTGCATACAAGGACTACATGGCTTCTTGTTGTTGTTCTTTCTCCTCCTCCTCCTCCTCCTCTTCTTCTTCTTCCTCACCCTCACCCTCCTCTTCATCTTGTTGTTGTTGCTGTTCCTCCTCTTCCTCTTCTTCTTCTTCTTGTTCCTCCTCCTCCTTCTCCTCCTCCTCTTCTACTTCTGGTTATGTTATGTTATGTTATGCAGTAATCGTTGTTCACTCTTTTGACCCTGATTCATGGAAGAACAACACTGTATGAGAATAACAACACTGCCTGTGTTCTTGCCCTAGCTCTATGTCCGAGCGATGGCGGATTACTGGCCTCTCCAGGACCCAGCCATTCCATGTGCTGATGCAGGGCTGCCATTTAAAAAGGGAGACATCCTCCAAATCGTGGACCAGAATGATGCCCTGTGGTGGCAAGCTAGGAAAGTCTCAGACCTCAGTGCCTGTGCTGGACTCATCCCTTCAAATCACCTTCTAAAAAGGTAGTGCACGTGTTTCAAAACGTGGAAGTGACATGGAGAGCTGTTGGCGTTGGGGTATCTGGTTTGGACTGAAGAGACCTGAGTTCAAGTCTTGCCACGGTCACTATTTTTTCACAGGATTACTTCAATGCAGCCATTCTCCATGAGCCTATCCTTCCTTAAAGGGTTGCTGTGACAATCAATAGTTAGATATACTGTGATGCTAGGTTATTGATTGTCATTGAATCCTAGAGTTCAGAATATTTTTAGCAGAACTGGGATTTTTTTTTTTTTAGGTTGCACTGAGTTCAGTGTGGGCTTCTTTTGAGAATTGCAATGCATTAAAAGTTAGGATTGTAGCTGTGGTTAGGATTTTATATATATCCTACTTCTTGCATATCGTGACCCTAGTGAAAAGTTCGATGCTCCCTTCCATCATAATAGTCCAACCTATTGACAATCAGAGTTCATCACTTCTACTTCTCTACTCCATAGTTTGTGGCATGGAAAAGATTGCCATTTTCCTGCCAATATGTTACACTTGCTAAGAAAAATAAGTTCCCCAAAAGCAAAAAGCCGAAGATTCATTGGGATGTTTTTGCCCAGGCTGTTTTTAATTGGTTAAAGATGATGAGCTATGTAGAGCATGTAGCTGAAGCTTGAAGCCATTGTTTTCAACTATTTAGATGATGAGGTCACAGAATGCTCACAACCTGCCTCTGACAGACAATGTCCAGTCAAGATTCAAGTTGTCTCTCTGATCATCATTCTAGTGTGTAGCTGATAAGAATATTCTAACTGGAATTAATTGCAACTGTTTTCTTACAGCATCACATTGTTATTTCTTTCTGTCTAGGAAGCAGCGAGAATTCTGGTGGTCTCAGCCTTTCCAACCTCACACTTGCCTCAAGTCAACCATCTGTGAGTATAAAAATGTCCTCGTCAGAAAGCTTGTGGTAGAAATGCTTCTCTGAGTGTTGCACAACAGACAGATTTGAGGGAAATGATAATTATAGTTCCGAATCTGACAGTGTGACCTGTCAACCTGGAGGCATGACTCTTAGACCATTTATTTTAAATCACAAAGGAATTACAACTGAGTGGAAAACATTTGTGGATGTCAGTGAATACATTGAGTACTGTAGTAAAAATTTTAAAAGTTGTGCAGATAGTATTCACTGGGCTTAACTTATTAAAAAGCATATGTTTCAAGATGGTAAACTGGCGCCGTATAGAAGTTGTCTGCAAACAGATTTTCAGGTGGCACCAGAGCCTCGTCAGACTGGCGCAGCTTTATCTCCCCAGAGAGTTGGTTGCATACAAATGCAAGTGTTCCATCATATAACCCTGCAGTCTCTTTTCATAAGTTAGAAGTAATCTTTAGCCTCTCTCTCTCTCTCTCTGCGCGTTTCGAGTGACATTGCAGGCAGTCCTCTAATTCACTTTTTGTTTTTAATTTCTTCCACGAATTTCCCATGAGTAGTGAGCACTGTGGAAGAAGGTAAGCGATGGTCTGAGTTTCATATGTTTCCCCACCCCTGTTAAGCTGCTGAATCTGTGATTCTAGTCAGTGACCTTTAGGATTGCAAAGTGGAGGGGTGTGTGTGTCAATTATTCTTGACACAAAATTATTCTCGGCACCTAGAGGATAGAAGCCCTATCTGGACCTTATAGCCTGAAACTTGGGTGAGTTTAAAGCATGCATGTTGATGACATGGGGATGCAGGTAAGTCCCATCTCCCACATCCCCACCTCACCCCAAATCCTGCAGGCCTTTGCATGTTCACAGCAAAGGTCTGCCGCAGTGCTTGCTAGTATATAAATGCACCTACAGCGTTTCATGAGTGTAAGCCCTGCCTTATTGGAGTACCTGATCCTAGAAACTCTACTTGTAACCACCACTTGGAAGTGCTGCCGCCGACCTTTGCTCCCTTCCAGGCAGGGCAGAGGCATAAGAGACAGGACTTGCCTTGCCAACCTTGCCATGCCTCTGCCACACTTCAGGCCCTAAGTGGTTTTGGGCATAGTGCCTGAACAGGGCCTAAGTGTCAGAGTAGTGTGTTGCTTGCTTGCTGAGGAGGCCCATTCTGGTCTGACAGGAAGGAAACATCAGCCGAAAGTCAGTAGTAAGATGCAGCTAGAGTAAGGCCCACTGAATCAGTAGAACTTACATACATGTTGACTCATCGGATCTTCACTGATTCAGTGGGCCTGCTCTAGTTGTGACTTACTATTGGATTTCAGCCATCTAGTCATGGGGTTGCTCCCGTCTGCCATCTGGGCAAGGCAGGGTTAATTCCGTAATAAAAGCTAGCTTTTAACTGAATAAGCTGGACTCCTTCCCACAGTAAGCTCAGAAAAGCAATAGTAGTAACTTAAGTAATAGGAAACTAGTAAAGCTTCAGAGATTAGACCAAGCCTCTACCTTCCAGATTTCTGCTAATGGCATGTGTGTGGAAAAGGATGCTAAACCAGCTGTGGCTCTGATGTGATGGTGCTTTTTGGCTTGGGAACATGAGAGACCTCACAGGCCAAGGGCAGTGGTGGTTCCCAGCCTGGAGTCTCCAGATGTTCTTGGACTACAACTCCCAGAAGCCTTCACCACCTCCTGTGCTGGCAAGGATTTCTGGGAGTTGTAGTCCAAGAACATCTGGGGACCTAAAGTTGGGAACCACTGATCTAGGAGATCCAGGCTGTGACCACCTTGCCAGTATGCATGCGCTAAATGTTTTTCTTCAGAAGGAAGATGGAAAGGAAAGGAAAAAAATGACTCAGATTTCCTTACAGTTTCTCTCAAGAACAGCCAAATGGCACCTCCCCACAGACCAAAAGAAAAGTATTTCAGTCTATACTATGGGGGTGTGCACACAGAGCCCAAGGTGCTTTTTAAACTAATGATCTTTAATAACTTTGTTTTCATTTGAAGTGGAAAGGAAATCCTAATATAGTATTTTATGCCATGACACAGCGCTGAAATATGAGAGAAAACCTTAAAGAAATTGGATTCTTTAAAGCCTCAAAAGCATGACTCCCCCATTCCTTTTCCCATTTTTTACACCCTACAGAAGATGATATGCAGATTGACGAGAAGTGTGTCGAAACAGGTAACTGACCCTGGAGTTTGGCGGATGAGCTTCTTCGTGTGACCAAAAATCCATTTCTAAAGGATTTTCTAAGTCTATTAAAATGATATTTGGCAGAATAAATGAAGGAAAAAGGTGTATGTGTAAAAAGAGAGGGAGGAAGAGGGATTATAATTCCAGTTATTTAAATTATTGCAAAAGAACCCACATGGAGAGAGATGTGTTGGAAAGAGCATTTGACTACAATGGGAGTATTGCTTGTATTGTACACAAGCTAATAAACGGGGACAGGCATGGGGAAAACGTTGGGATTTGATTTGTTTTGGGTTCTTTCAAGGGATGCCTCCTTTGTTTTCAGGTCTTTTGTTCATTTTTTCCTTTTTTTATGCATGAAAGGGACCAGCTCTTTTGTTTTTCTTTGTTTGTCTTCTATCTGGCACTCGTCCCAGAGCCCTAAAGAACCCTAAGGATTGCTTCAACAACAACACAGGGGCACAGTGGGCAGCCCACAGTAAACTAACACATCTTTTAAAAATCAGCCTTTAATATCCCTACACACAAACATGGGGCATAAAAAGAGGGGAGAAAGGCAAAAACAAACCAATGAAAAACACTTGTCTTCTCTCCCAAAAACCCAAGAAGAGTAAGGAAGTGTAAATAAAGACCAAAAAAAAAAAAACCCACAAAAAGTTCAGCGCCCCCAAACAAAAATGACAGGGATGTTGTTGGCAAGCCTTTGGATCCAAGTCCCAAGTCCAAATCTAAGTCTTGGGTACCAAGTCCCAAGTCCCAAGCCCCAAGTCTATTGAAAACAAGCTTTTTGCCCCAGAAAAAAAGCGAAGGGGTGGGTGGGGTTCCGAGTTCATGAGTTGAGTCAGAGTCATTGGGGGAGGGGGGAAACCCAGTCAAGTCACCAATGTGACTTAAATCTGACTGAACAGCCAGCATTGCGTTTTGAGTCCCAGTCCTGGCAAAGTGACTAGACGATGGGGAGTTTTCTCCTCATTCCCCCCCACCGCTGCCCCACTGATGTCTTCCTCGAATCCACCACCATCAGGTAGCAAAAATAACCCAAGAAAGGAGAGGGAGGGTGAGGAAGAGGTGGGGAAAAATCCTCAAGAAATTGGGATGTGGGAAAAAGAAAAGAAAAAAAAGAAAAATCAAAGAGGATTTTTGGAAGACACGGGAGGACAGCAAACATGTTAACCCAAACCTCCTATCCCTACTAACAATCCCTGTTAGCTCATGTTAACCCAAACCTCCTATCCCTACTAACAATCCCTGTTAGCCCCTGCCATTCTCTAAGTTTACAACTATTGCTGGTATGGCCATGTGACAAGGAAACTGAATATTGGAACTGAACTACATGTATAAGCCCTGAAAATGCGTGATCCAGGTAGAATGGAAAGTTAGCATTATTCTGTTCTGTAGAGACCCAAAGAAACACATAACTTACCTGAAACCAAAACAACTTACAGTTTTTGTTACCCAGGAGCCTAGTGCACTCTTTCTCTGTCTAAAGGATGTCTTTTCCTAGGGGAAAAATGATGTACAGTGGTGCCTCGCATAGCGACATTAATTCTTTCCAAAATTGTTCAGCAATGATGTACCATCGCTATGCAATATTAAAAAGCCGATAGAAACGCATTGAAATCCCTTCAATGCGTTCCTATGGGCTTAAAACTCACCATTCAGCGAAGATCCTCCATAGCGCGGCCAATTTCGCTGCCTGGTAAGCGAGGAATCCATCCCTAAACACAGTGAGCGGCCATTTTGTTTACCCAGCAGCCATTTTGAAACCGCCGATCAGCTGGCCGAAAATGGGGGGTTTGCGATGATCGCTTCCCTGCGATCATCGCAAAGCAAAATTCTTCATAAGGAACATCGCAAAGCGCCCCCCATAGGGAACATCGCAAAGCGCTCGCTTTTGTGATCGCAAAAAATGCATTGCAAAGCGATTTCGTTGTAAAACGAAGCGATCGCTATGCGAGGCACCACTGTACTGTATATGTATTAAAAATTATATTTCAAAGCGTTCTTTGAGAAGCAGAAAGTTGGGTGGGTTGGTGTGATAGGTTACTAGATGCAAAAAAATGTAAAACAACACGGTCTTCTATGCAATTAGCCTCATTTTAGATTGCAGCGTTGGATATAACTTGGTCATAAAAGCAGAGGTGGTCCTTTGAGTGGATGACAAGCTCAAGTAGACTCTTGGCAGCAGCTCAGAGCCTGTGGCTGCAGTTGTGATCCAGCACACGTACTACACTTGATCTTACTCAAAAGGCCAAGAAGCT